AGCTTCCCTGTTTTGAGAATGTACAAGGCTGAGTGAAATGCCTCTTTAAGAATTCCACAGTAATAGCCTTCAAGCTTTGTGATAAGTTATTAACCCAATATGATCAATATACGTTGCTATTGAGGGATATATATTACTCAAGAGGCTCTTATGTACATATGTGTTTATTTGCGTGTTTTTCTCTCCGCATGTGTTTCTTTTCGAAAATTTCTCAGTTTATTTAGGTAAACAAATTTATTTGCACGTTTTTTTCTGCACATGTGTGTTTGTTTACGCAGCTAATGTATGAAGAAAGATAAACATTGATTATGCTTCTTTTCGAAAATTTCTCAGTTTATTTAGGTAAACAAATTTATTTGCACGTTTTTTTCTGCACATGTGTGTTCGTTTACGCAGATAATGCATGAAGAAAAACATTTATGCTTCTTTTCGAAAATTTCTCAGTTTACTTGAGGTAAACAAATTTATGTGCGCATTTTTTTTTGTGTGTTTCTGTTTATTAATACGCAGCCAATGCATGAAGAAAAATAAACATTGAATATGCATCTTTTTGAAAATTTCTCAGCATTGAGGTAAACAAATTTATTTGCTTGTTTTTTATGTACGTGTGTGTTTGTTTACGCAATTAATGCTGGAATAAAGATAAACATGCTCCAATGATTGAGGTAAAACAAATTATGTTAATTCTTCTCAAAATAGTCTGTAAATTGAGATGCTCTCAGATAAGCTAATTAATGTTGAGTCGAAGCTTTTCCAGATTCCGGAGACTACAGTTCTAGTCTCAGGAGATGCTAATAATTGATGAAAATATTTATTATATGAGTCATAGCAGAATGCTGAAACTGTTTTCTAGCATATATTCTCGCATATAGGACAAGGGGAACAAAAAACAGGGGAACTTATTATACATATACATATTTTTTTTATTTTAAAAATCATGTTTTTTTATATGTGCTGATTGTCCGCAATACATAAATTTAGTACTTAAATGAAGTTACTAACTGTTAGTATGGGCACCAAGGACGTTTGTATGTATGTATGAGTTATACCTCCATGGTATGAGCTAGATATGAATGCCATACAAGCTGTGTAGTATTGTTGTTTAATTTGTCAGTTAAGTTTACATTAATGCTTTTTAAATTCTGATGAAAGTAAGTCCATGAACTTTACTAAGTCTAGACCTTGGACTTGCGTGGTGATTTGAAGGCTAAATCCAGGCTTGGTCCCAGTGGATCGTATCGGGAGGAATTCTGACGGTGAAACGAGATGGGCGGGGGTGAGGTCATCTTATACGCCAAACATACAAAAATTGTTCAAAAATCTTCTCAAACTAGGGGTCCTCTTATAATTTTTATATGCATATCACCTTATACAAAAGCATATATGGTAATTAAATATGTATTGTTTCCTGAAAATCATAAAAAAATAATTTTAAATGTAACCTGTTCATTTTGCATTTTAACATAAACATTAATATTAACTTGAGCATTTATTGAAATTTAAAAATGTGTATTCTCGTTTTTAAACTAGATAATGATAATTTTATAATAAAAACACTTTCAGTGACTGGAAGTGTTAAAATCATTTTTTGCTGTAAAATTATAGGTAAACATTTTTCTAAATTCACTAATTTCTGTTTTCAAGTTGATAATGTTTATAATTCCATTTCAAGCAAGTCAATTTAAAAAATTATTTTTATGATATATCTTTAAGTTTTGCTATTACGAATAACCGTTTCTTTCCATCACTTCAACTGTTATTATCTTTTTGTGGTGTCTGGGTTTTTGTGTTTAACCAAAAATCCTAAAATTTCATTGGATGACCCTCTGGAGCCAGTCTTCTACAGGTCAACTACAATAATATTTTCATGCATAACATCGGTATTATAACCGGAAGAATAGGGTAGACTTAATTTCAAAAGCTCAACTGTTTCATTAGGAAGAAATCAATATTGTGAGCGGATGTTCTTGAAGCATGTATTTGCGACACCATCATTGATTGCTGCCTCGTAAATGTTCCCAAGGAGGTAGACGTACATTAAATTGAAAGCCAAATTATAAAAAAATCATATAAATAGACTGCCTTAGTATGATATTTAAATTATTTTTTAAAATAGATAAAATTAAGTGATGAAAGAAAGAATTTGAATGAAACAAGAATATTCCAGTTGTCATTCATGAGACAAAATTTTATATGGGATGGGACACGTTCTCGGAAATGTGTACCAATAAAAAAATATAAAAAAAATACATCACATTAGCGTGAACAATGCACTTTGGGATAAGGAATAAATATAAAAAATGAGCATGTTTCTCATGTAATATGCAAAAATATCTGAAAACCTTCATATCATATTTTTAAGTTCTGTCAAGATTATTCAATTTTTTTTTGAAAAAAATATTGTATGTCCATATGTAGTCATGGTGTACCTATATATGGTCATGATTTGATATGACCATATTTCGCCATGTCTTTTTGTTAGAAAAAATGCATATGCATTACTTTATTTGTTATAAACAATTGAAAAATATTGGCATAAATTTTACTTTTACGCAAAAGAATAAAAAAAAAAAGAGAAATACAGACTATTTCTCATAGGAGATTACCATTTTCTCAACGAATTCTTCGTTACTATGCAAATTTAGAAGTTGTAGATCGCATCAGCTGGAATGCTCTCGCTCTTATGTATACTTTATACAGTCAATAAAGTGTGCCCTCTCTAATGAAATTGCTTTTTGTACTTCGCATCTCTCACACTGCGATCAATCGAGTATCCCGGAAATATGTTTGTTTAGTTGTCAAAATCTCGGTCAGAATAATTTTTTTAACAGATTTGAAATAATTCCTATGAAATATTATATTTCACAAGTGTCAATATACTAGCAACGGAAAATATCATGTCGGCTGTTTTTATGTGTGATAACAAAACCTAAATCGAGGTAAGGCTAGGCCTAGCCTAGCAGTGTTGGATAGGCTAATGTTTTCGGCGCCTACTATGTTTCTTCGCAGACCTATCGCAAAATCAAACATGAAAAATCCATCCATTTATTTTTTTCTGTGGAACACAAAATAATCAAATGTCATATTTTACGTTTTTTCATGTTTAGGAATGTCTAAATTCAGTTAAATTAGCAATTTCGTATTACGTTTATAAATCTTTATAACATTATAAAAATCAGATTTTTCTTAACAACTGAAATCTTGCCGTGAATGGAGCTTTAAGCTCTGTTCACACTTTTGAATTTTATGTGACAAATTTGTGTGATGTGCCCATATATGGGCATATCGCATTTTATTTGTCACATAAAACCTGTGGACACAGCTCAAGTCTACCATCAAAATGCTATCATTATATTTATGTGCGTATTATTGTTAAAGGTACACATCCCATGCAGGATTATTATTTTTTTCACTAATGAAAATGAAATGAAATATTATAATTTCTGAATAACTAAGACTAAACTCCTTTGATCCACCTCAAAAGATAATAGATAAACATGTCATCAAAAATTTTTTTAAATCAAATGTGGCACCTAATTGACAAAAATTTTAAGTCTTTTCTGTCAGCATTCTAAATTCCATTTTTGTATTTTTTAAGTGAAACAACACGCTACAGCCTACTATACAAACCCCGGTAGATTAATCAGGTGGAGAACGCGAGCACATAGCGTGTGGAAAATGGCTCGCAGACCACTCAACGCATGGAAAGTTTACTGGTTAATTGCTCTCAAAGGAGCATATCTGCTTAAAGCGTTCATGCATGTTAAATGACATCATAATTACAAACATGGGGTGAGACATAGCTGCGGTAATCTGCCCTTAGACCTGCTGCATGAAATTGATGTGGATATTATCTAATGGATTTTTTTTTCCTGTGGTTGTTTTTAATACTTCATGAATGATCAAAGTATAGATTAAAAATGTTTGATTTAAAATATTCTTTTATGAGGGTCAAAACCCAGTCAGTGTTAAATGCTACTTTCCATAGAGGTCCTCGACTAATAAGGACACAAAGAATAAAATAATTAAAACATTCATTGAAAAATCATAAACCCATGTACAGAATGTACAAAAGGAAAAAATGGCATTTTCAACTTTATATTTTTAAAATATAAAGATCGTATTCTAATGCCCATCAAGTTTATACATGTCATGAGCTAACATATGTACATCATCTTGTGGTATATAACCATCATTTATTTATAAAATATAAATTCTGGATATTATTTTTAATTCTTTTGTCTGTACTATTTACTATTGTTTACAGTAGCTATTTAATTTTTTGTTACTGCTGTTGTTGCTGTGTTTGTTGCCATGTTGTTGTGTAATTCTTGAGCACAATTGCTTTTGTTGATGTTTATGTGCTTGGATATCATTTTGTAGAAACAGATTGATATTCTTTCATTTTGTGATTCTTGCTGATTGTGTCTTGATAGAAGATCACTGCGTTGCTGTTGATGTTGCTGTTGCTGTACTTGTTTGTTGCTGTTGCTGCTACTACTGTTGTTGCATCCTGCTGCGCTGTTGTTGTGGTTAGAGTGCTGTAGCTGCTACTGTTGCTTTTGTTGCTTTTGTTGTTGCCTCCTGCTGTGCTGTTCTGATTGGAGTGCTGTTTCTGCTACTGTAGATGATGTTGCTGTTGCATGCTACTACACTGTTTGTTGTTTGTTTCTACAGTATTGAAGTGCTGCTGCTGATGTTGCCTCCATTAATGTTTCTTGCATATTGCATCCTCTTGTGCTATTAATGTTTATGTTGCATCGGTAGTCCTGAAACTGTTGCGGCTTCTTCTGCTGCTGTTGATCTTGTAGTTGTTGCTTTTGCTGCTACATCCAGCTGTGCTGTTTTGTCATGTTGATGTAGTAGTGCTGCAACTGTTGCTAATTCTTTTGCATCACACTGCTGTTGCTGCTTTGTCCTATTATAATTCTTAGTGGTATTGTTAATGATTGATAATATATTAATCATTTTCAATTTTCCCTTTGATTGTGTCTTTTCAGGGCATCGCAATGTGTATGGCTGTCTCCTGCATATCAATATATGAACCTCTTCCTCTTAATAGTCGCTCTGTGGGCCATAGGCACGCCATCTTCCATCGATAGTATTCAAATGGTGAGTACATCCAGTGCCCTCTCCAGATTATCGCTTTTTATTTGACAAGAACATGTGACATGCCTAAATATGGTCATGAAGACATCAAATCATGACCATATATAGGCATATCATATCTATATATGGGCATACAATCAGTCAAATAAAATTTGATAGTCTGGACAAGGCTTTAAAAGAAGGATGATTGCTCTAAAATTCCAGGGTCTTTGGTCCAAATCATGTAAAACTCAATTTTTTTTCTCACAATTCCTAATTCTCACAAATATTCTGTTCTAATAGCAAGTGTGTTATTGAGTGTTGGTTTGAATTACCTCTATATGGGATCCCCCATCCCTTACATGTATACTGTCTGCAATATGCTGAAACAAAATTAAACGAGAAATTAACATTTACCGATAATTAGATAATATGATAATTATATAGTGTGGAGGAAGGGGGATTTAAGGGAATTGAAAATCCATGAACCAATATCTTAGTTCATTAGGTGTTCAATTAACACCATAAAATATTTTTCTTGTTGACTAACAGCAATATAGACCCTAATATTCTTTCACTAGACCCTTAACCTTATCTGGTAGCCAGAAAGGAATTTTGTAGTAAAAAGGTATGTAAATCAATAAATGAATCAGTTTGATTTGCAAGGTTTCTTTAAAAGTTTAATTATAGTTAACTTGATCCTTTACAATGAGCTATTCATAGTTTAATTTTTGATGATTTTTTTTCCAGATTTTGTGATGACAGTATATATTTGATCAGTTTATTTTCTCACATTCATACAGTCGCATATGTATGGGGAGCTCCCCCATTCCCTCCCCCCCCCATTGAAAATGTTTGAAGCAAAATAATCACGATCTAGTAGTTATAAATAACCTCATTTTAGCTCACCGCACTTAATCATAGAGATTTCCCCATTTCCCCCCCCCCCCACTTCACCTTCACGTCCTATCAGCCTCCTCCATTTCGAGACTTAGATACACCACTGCATCCATACTCCCTTCATTTTCATAGATTTCCATTCCCCCTAGACCCCTTTTTCCACACTATATAATTATCATATTATCTAATTATAGTATGCCAATCTCTTTCCTATCTTTCAGCTTCTGGTCTTGCACGTCATAAGCATCGTAATGGAGGTTATACTAATCAGCGTTTATTTCCCGAAATACACGGACGCAGGTAGGAGGTCGTTGCTGTCAGGTGCACAATTAGATCGAAGAAACAAGTCATGTGAAACATGACTAACTCCAAGCAAACGTCATACGCTTCCTTTCTAATCACATGGCCAGCGATGCGAACCACGAAATAGTGATTTTAAATGAAAACAATCTTTTGTTTCATTTTTCTGTATCTTATTTTTTAGTTAAGAAGCAGAATAGAATAGTAAATGATTATATATATTTTAGTGCAAAATAGTAAGTTTTCTCTGTACTCAGGCAAATAAATTCGGGGATTGACTGCATAGTATGCTCTGCTCTATGCGAGCGTTAGAGGACAAAATGCTGTCTGCTGATTGCCGGTGCAGTCTGAACGGATTGCCTTTAAAACTGATCCATTGCGTGTGCATCGTGGCATTGTGTTCTCCATAGAATCGAAACAGCTGACGACAGTGCTGAAGCTGTTGTTTGAAAATTCAAAAAGACAATAAAATAAAATAAATAAATATAATTAATACAGTAAGCAATTTCATGACCTGAATGTGCTTGACTAAATAACAGTCATTTATAGAAACATACGTTATTTTGTACAAGTAAACCAACATTAACCTAATCTTATAAGAATATAATGAAAACACATTCAATCGAAACTATCGCAAAGTAAAACTGATTTTCTTAATATTGCATTTATGTTCATTAGTAATTAGTACCAGGGGTCATTAGTACAAAATCTTTGATTTAAACCAAATGTATTACTACATTACATTGATTAAAATCTGTAGCTGCGAGTCATCGATGCATAATGCTAGCAGAACCTCCAGAAGAAAGAAACCATGCACAAAGCCATTCTCGTCAGCCTTTAGACGCCGACTTCTAATGTATTTTCAGGCAGCGTTACAAACACAGTGTTTTAACATGATTGGGCAATTTTGATGTAAATTACTTGGAAAATGCAGTAATCCGTGTTGACCATACTGCTGTACTTTCATATGATCATTGGACATGCATGCCCATATTTATACTCTAATGAAAATTTAATCATTCTGAGCTATCCTGTCTCTCATTGGCTATAAATTAGGGATTGAATTGAATTTGAACAAGAAACTGTAATCTAAGCTCACATTAAAACATTAAAAAACTCCAATAGAAATTAAAGTACAACTGAAAATTATCTCTTAAAACCAAAAGATTTTAAAATTTAATTGATCATGCAGGAATATAAGAACAGAATATTCATGATTGATGTCGAAAATTGGGGTATCTAAATACAGCGCGGTAAAAACAAATTTATACCACAATTAGGCTCTTATGGAAAATGACCATGAAATATAATAAAATATTTACTATATTATTAATATTTTTTTATCTATATTTTTTCAGGTTCAACAGAATTTAAGTTCAGTGCTGCGTATCCTTTTACATGTGGTGTTATTCAATGCCTAGAAACTAAAAATAAAAGAATTTAATAATAATAATAATAATAATAGTACAGGGATTTGTACCGCGCCTTTTGCCATAGGACACAAGGCGCTGGTGAAGTTATTATTATTTCTAGTCATTAGATCCATAATCAACACAAAGCGCAAACTCCTCCACTCCCTCGGGAGTATTCCTAGTCGTGCTGGCAAGTTAATGTCAATACGGACTAATACAACCAAATAAACCAAACCACCCTTTTTCTAGCATCTAATTCAATCAAAATTATGAAATTCCATCATAGGAACTATACATCCATAGTAGACCCCCTAACTCTCAAAGCTAACCTAACCCCACTCATACTTAATCCGACCCCAACCCCACTCCACCCCACACCATAAGCAATCATAGTTACGGGCCTGTTAAATTTCATATTTAAAGTAATTTTCATATTGTAAATAATCAAATTTTATGTGTGCTATATATTATTTATATAATCAGATATTATTGATTTTCCCTTGACTAATTTCTTTTTCTCCAGTATGGCGATAATCAACCTTATCCTCCGACCTATTACAGCTGTCATTATTGCGACGCACTACCGGGCCCGTGGTGGCGAAACTAACATCGGCTTCTCAAATCCAACTTACAAAGGCTACGAAAACTTTGACAACCCACCAACGATTGGGATCCCACCTCAAGGCAGCACCCCAGCAGGACCGTCTATGGGTAACCAATATGGAGGCCCTTAAGCTCCTAAAAAAAATATGGTAACACCTTAGGTTTGCGAGTACAGGTATCTTTAGTTAATTCCTGGTAAGTAAAGTAGTTTGTGAACACACGTGCAATATAGTGTGCATGTAGAGACAAGGTTTGTTGGTAACTGTGGAATTTACTATTTAATAATTTATTCTAAAAAATGGCAATAATTTCTTGTAAATAGTGGTAGGTAATGGTTGCAACGTAATATCAATGTTTGTCAAAAACCCTGCGTAGTTTATCAAAACCCAGGTATGATCTACCTCCCAGCACAAAAGAGGGTGCTCTGTTAGATTCTCGCAATTCGTATTGAAAGTGAATTATAATTATAAATACAGCTATATGTTTGGAATGGTATTTATTTATTTCTGAAATGTTCTGTAAATCTTAGAAGTCTACAAATATCCACATTTTGAAAATGGAATTGAAGTTTGGTCTCATCAAGTTATAATGAGGTCAAAATATTTAAAGCTGTTTTTGCAGCAATGATTGGTTATAATTAATTTAAAATTTATTGTTCGTATGCATAATAGGTTTTAATTATATTGGAGATAAAATGTTCAATATCCCCGTCAATCAAAGTAAGCCTTATTGTTTGATTGACCTCCATGTGCTTAGACGGGAAGCAGGCTGGTTTCTCCCCTGACACTTGACCCCTGGTATTTTTTCTCCTGGACATTTTCCTCCTAGACTTCCCCCCCCCCCTTTCAAGAATTTTTATACAAGGAATACATCAAGATTTATATCATCTCTTTTATATTAAATCTTTATTAAATCAATTGCACAAGTAACAACAATATTTACATGGAGAATATGTATACAATTGTAGGTGGCAATGTATCTAAATAGTATAAGACATGAATTTCTTAATGTAAAAACTGACAAAGCTATAATTTTTTACATAATTAATTTTTTTTATAAAACTTAAATACTTTTGATTATCTATTTCTATCTATCCATAAGGAATAAATAAGGTTGATTACATTTGCTCTTTATAGTTATTAAATGTTTATTATTATTATTGTTGTTATCATTATTATCATGAAATTATCCATACAGAATAAACAAGGTTATTACATTTGGGGAAAATGGGGGGTGGGGAAGGGGAAAATGCCCGGGGAAAACAGCCTAGAACCATGCTTAGATAGTGGTGTAGTAATGGTCTATAATTATAGAGCGGTGCCTAAGTAACGTTGAAGCTGAAGTCAGCCAAGTGTTAACACCGTGTTAAGACCATGTATGGCAAGTCAGTCTTAGGGATCGGAGTAGCGTTGATTTTGGTTATTATAAAATCCCAACATTTTAACCAAGAGTGAATCCACGACAAGTACAACAACCTATAAAACAATTTACTCTACTCCGAATGAAATTTATAATTATTATTCCCAAATTATATGTGAAGGAAATTCATTGATCTAGTACAATGCCAGAGACAAACACACAATAAGGTACAAAAAAAAATCCATCTGAGTATATGTAATTACTACTGTTTGTATATTTATATTGTTTTATATTATTTATATCAATATTTCTATTTTATTTTTTCTTTAAAAGAAAGTAACTTTTGTACAATTATTATTCATCCTATATTAATTTGACTTTCTTCTTGTTATTGGTTTTTCCCGCAACAGCGGAAACCTAATTTTCTTTTCTATTTCATTTCCTATGTTTTTTTTTTTTTTAGGGTTTTTCTACCTTTCACTTTGGTCACTTTTCCAGCTTGGATCTTCTTCAAACTGTGTCCAAGCAAAGAACATATCAAAGATGTGCATATTAGATAAAAATATGACATCATTCCATATATTATTTATATCATAGGGTGAAGTTCTATAGTTGCTATGGTTAGAACTCTTTAGTCACCTCCTTCACTACAATTACAGCCCTACTTTGGGACTCTGTAGCATTGAATTACTTTTAATGTACATTTTTTTTACTTTTTAATCATTTTTAACGATTATTTTTTACTTTATATACAACAATTTGTATTATGTAAATGAAGAAAAGCCATACGTTCTTTTTTACAAACAGACATACAGGTAGTTATTAAGTCTACTTGTTATTATTGTTTAATGAGCACCTTGTATCCATAAGTATAAGAAACTACAGTACATTGATCTCTATATAATATTTACAGGATTATTTAGACTCAATTATTTTTTTTCTTCACCTCTCCCTTGTCAGAATAATTTTATATAAATTGTCATTACATTCTTTTAAAATCATAGTGCCCTCTATTATGTTGGAGCAACAATTTTCAAAACAACAGATAGGCCTGCTACACTGGTTATCTGAAAATCTTTTCGTCTTGAAATCCTCATTGTGTTTATATGGCCATGATGAAATCTGGGAGTTCTTGTCGTGGGGTTCTTCCAAGCATAGTGATCCTGTGTAATCTGTGCGGTTAGTTGGATGGCAGAGTGAAGATCGATAGCGCAACGGCGTGCATTGAACGTCAAGCCAGTCCTCTGCTCTTTTTTGATGAGTGTACCACAGGTGGGCAAAATGTGGCCCGCATGCGGCCTGACAGTGATTTTCTTGCGGCCCTTGAAAATGTATTGAAAACACTGCGTGTGGCCCACCCAATATCTTTGGATAGAAAACACCTTATTTTTTTATGGCCCCGACACCCATCATCTGTAAAAAGTAATACTGTATTAAACTGAGAATAAAGTGGTATAAAAGCAGTGCTCGGAGGTTTATGGAAGCATAAGGAAAACATCAAAATTTAGGTGCGCACCTCTTGGTGTTAAATCACAAATTCACTTTGGTCCTCCGACCGTTTTATGCAGAGCCCTGGGGTACTGCATTCCTTAACATGCACACGCCATGTTGTGCACTGGCCCAGCTTGCTTAATGTCTCTGATAAGAAGAGAAAAATATTTTCACCCTTTGACGACACAAAGTTCATAGTGAACATTATTGAGAGTTAAAAAGAGCATTAAAAAGCGCTTTAATGTTGTTGAGAGTGTGGAATGAAAAAAATGGATCATTAAAAAAAAATGCCAGTAGACTGGGCAACACCTTTCTTTTATTCCTTTTTGCAGATGTTTTAATATCTTTGTTAAATGTTAACTTTAATGATTTGCCTACCGGTGTACTTTATACTTGCAGGGCAGTGTCATAGGACTTATTTATTCAACACAAAATATACAAATATAAAAAGCAATAATAATATTTATTATTTAACAACCAAATAGCAATATTCTGAGTAGGGAACAAAATAAAAAAAAAAATGATATTAATATTGATAATGATTAATAATAAATTAAAATAGTGCTAGTAATTAGAAAATGTTTATTGTATGTAGAAGGTGGTTAAAATTGTTATTTTTTTTGCTGCAACTAAAAAAGTTAAGCTTTCTGTTTGCTGCTAAAACCCTGTCACAATTTCTAATTTCCCACAAGCACCCAAAACATTTGAGAATCGAAACATTGAACATTTTCATGTTTTTGCATTTTATTAGACTTGCCACAAGTCTGTAATTTATTGATTTTTCATAGTATTAGCACATTTCGGAAAGTGCCACCAGCGTCAGTTTATGTCGAGAAACTTTTTGATGCGGAATCCCAGAAAAAGTATACTATGGAAAGCCATGCAAATAAGTAATATGGAACGCCATTGGTGCCAAAATCGATTTATTTTTAAGAATTACTCTGTTTAAGACAAAGTTTAGGGACTGGAACCCAGTCTAGCATTTTATAAAAGAAAAATATGTTAATTCAAATTCAATTCTGCAAAATATCAGTCACTAAATCTAACTAAAAAGTATATTAAAATTGTTTTTGAAATACAAATCTTAATAATAAACTATTGATTTTGGAATCTTTGGAAGCTGTTTCTCAAAACCTACTTGGCTGATATCCAATGAAATAAATATTCATTTTTTTTTGCAAATACTGAACCAATTTTCAACAAATAAACACTTTTGTAACTGTAAGGAAGAATTCATGCAGAATATGTAAACACATCAAAAACTAAGTTTTTATTTTTTCCTAAAAATGGCTGGTTTTGCCAGAGCTGGTCAAAATTAACAACATTGTCATTGTCATCATCATCATCATCGCCTTCTTTGCAATCGACCACTATTCAATTATTATTATTACTATTATTATTATTATTATTATAAAACTGTATGTCAAATGATTTGGAATTTGTGTGGTGCTGAATAAAAAAAATATATTTATATTAATTTTTTCTTATTGTGACATTGAAGATACACACAATTAATAAATTTGTGTTGATTTTAAGGTACGTGTTTGGTACCAGTTTTGAATGATCAAGGACTGTGGCCCAAATCATGACCAGTAGTGGCGCCAATATAGGGAGCTTGAGAGCCCTCCCCCCTCCATTGGGGAGAGCTAAAAACACAAAGCAGATTTTATCAGGAAGGGAAAAACAATCTATGTAAATTTTACAGGTTGTGAGACATAAGCCTTTCCAATCCATGAATAGACTTTTCAAGAATGTCAATCAAATTTAACATCTGACCAATGAGAACAGTGCCAGGGATACACACGTGTGTGTTGTCCCATAAAGGCACTTGTGTACATACATTTACACTGTCATTTTGTGGAACCTTAGCAAAAAGGGGCGGGGCTTAACAGAAAGGTCCATTGTAGGTGCTTCCGGTGCCTTAGTATCTTGAACCCTTCCTGAGGTGGTGTTCTGGGTGACCCCTGGCTTGCATCAGGAACATTGTCGCCCCCCTCCCTCTCCCCTCTCTAGCAAACTGGCGTCACCTCTGATCATGACAGACTGAATTTCTCAAATCTGAGTTTATTTGAAGCATTCCTAAAGAACAGGAATTAGAAAAATGTCCATATAAATGTTTGAAAAATATTTAGAGTAACGATATTTATAGATATGTGGACTGTGCAATAATAAGTAATAAGTATGTATTGTTTTTTTGCAAGTTATTTATTCTTGGTATTGAAGTTGTTTCAAAATCATGTAAGTAGTTTATGCTTTTGCCGGTGGGTTATATCATTTAAATTGCATTCCATAACAATCCTGGAGGAAGCTGAAATGTTCAGTAGTGTTTCTATGAGTGTTAACCTGGAGGGAGTGGGTGACGATGGATTGGGAGGGGTGCCAACTGGGGGAAGAGGTGATATGATATTTCAATATTTTCAGTAGGGGATTCCTGGCTTTTTCGGAGGGCTTTCGTGCAATATAAAGAATGTCATTTAATTAAATATCATCACCCCACACCATATTCCCCCGCACCCATTTATAAGTTTCCAGATCCACCTTTATTAATAGCTTCCACCTTTGACCTTTTTTATATTATTTGGGTCATAGTCGGTTGTTATTTGAAATACAGTATGTGAAAGCATTCTAGCTGCTGCATAGAGAATGACTACATCCAATAAAAGGACCTCTGTAAGTGGTCCCCATTGGTTGAAAAAAAAAAAAAAGATTTACACTACTGAACCGAGTTAAATTATGTCTGTAATTTTTCCATGTATCTTTGGCGTTCTCAGGGAGGTAATTTCACAGACAAGCGACAAACAGTAGAAATATGTGCAAGAAAATGATAGATAGATATATGTACATATCAGTAATATATAGATTCATATTATATAGATAATGTTGTATTGTGCAGGTATGTTAATTGTACTTAATAATTATAACTATTTGATATTTGTCGTCATTCCTGCGTAATTATGTTAATGTTATTAAAAATTTTGATAAATATCTGCGAATATTTAATTTATGTTGCATAAGTATAAACCAGAAAAAAAAATCACTGATCAGAGATTAATTTGTCTTACTAAAGATTTTGTTAATTGCAAATATTACGACAATATCTGTATTATGTTAAAACAAGTTTGTAAGGAGTATGTTAAAACTGAAGACTTAGAAAATGTTTCTTTTTTTTTGCAATATAATATATAGTATTAAATTGTTTACCCAGGTGGTTATGTATGCAAATTTGTGATAGTACTTGTATAAATGTGAGAGAAATAATTAGATGTACAGTATTTGTTTTGTTTTTCCAATGAGTCAAATAATCTATCAATCAATCTTTTTCATAATCTTTATTCAAAACATATTTACAACTATGTAAACTCTTCATACATTTCTGTAGTTCTCATGTACAAGCTCACAAACAGGCACAAAATAGGGTCAATACCCATGGATTATTTATTAGGAAAATACAAGTGATTGTTTGCCTGCAGACAGTAAGCCGCAGTCAGTCCATTCTAGGCCTCCAGAGTCATAGGTAGCATTTGAATGCTAAATTTCAATGCAATTTTATTAATACTTTGGAAATTTGTTATCAAAGGAACACATAGTGGTAGAATTTCCATTCCAAACCTCTGAAATCAAAAGAATAAGGTCACTGGGGGGTAGAGCATTCTGCATGTGAATTGCTCAATATAATTTTATATTTTATTTGGAGGAGATATCTGGTATGACAGATACACATTGATTAACTTTTAAGAATTCTTTATACTTCCTTACAATTATATACATGAACGCATTACTAAGGCCTGAAAAAAAAAATGTTATGTTGGTGTAACGGGCCCAAAACGATAGGGTAGGTAGGTGGGTTTTTTTTTTTTTTTTTTTTTACACTGCCACAATATTCATCAAAGGCTTTGAAATCTATAAGATCAATTAAATGAGACTTTAAAGCCCCTAATTGTCATATTTTTCGCCCTTGGACCACTTTTGAAACATTTTCAGTGACGCCCGACCACGCCTACTTTGCTAACGTAAACTTGTATTGTGAAATTTAAATAAAAATATCTAGGGTCGGTCGATTTTTTAGGGTCGGTCGGGGTATGGCAACATAACATTTTTTTTTAGCCTAACTGTTCACAATGCAAATTCTTAATGACCATACGATAGAATCTCGACAGCAGGCATAAAGGCTCGCACTCTCACAAGCATTTTATTATTTGTTGATAAAATTATATTTTTATATTCTCCGCTTTACTTTTATTTATTTAAATAAATCAAAATCTTATTTTTCCCACCCATTAAAAATCTTTAAAAAGTACTCTAAATAAGGTATAAGAATGTTCTATAATAAACAAAGAGATTTAAATGAGACTACTTTTATGTTACAGTTAGCGAGCCATCTAAAAAAAAAATTCTTTGTAGAATCGATGTAATAAATCTTATAAAAACAAAAGCTCTGACTGTAGACATCGGGCAGCATACAGAAATAGATAAAAAAATGTTACGCCAACTAATATTCTTGGAATGTCGATAGAGTTGACACCTGTGAAATTTGCGTATGTCTGATTGAAGACTTATTATTTTCTTGTTATTGGGCATGGAATTTAGCTTCTAAACATCTTCATCTTCTTCAATCACCTCTTCTGCTCCCTGTGTAGATATTTTAAAAAGAAACATGGTAAGAATTTTCCATATTCAGTCATCAGCATGCATACTTAAAGATGTACTATTAGTCATGAGGTAAAAAAAATGAAAATTACACATTTGAATTGTTTAATTTTATATTGAATTAAATTATTTACTTAAAATAAAAAATTTGAATTAAAAAAAAAATCCCCCATCAATTTTGGACAGTTAAATAGTAACTTTCCTGTATTCTTTTGCATAGTCATTACATTGGCTGTTAATTTAAGGATTTTTGTAGAAAATGCCTGTAAGTCGGTAGAAACTACTTTTTTGTTCGATCTGTTACTCGTTAGAAGCTAATAATTTATTCGATCCAAATGAGCTTTTTGTCTGTCTTTTTTACAGATATGCATACTTTTGATGTACATGTTTAAAAAATGAAAGTATACAGTATTTTGTATTCAATGTCGTCAATTTACTCATTTCTGATGATTTAATCATTAGTAACCCCAAGCATTAATTCCTTATTTAATACATTATTTGCTTAAATAAATATTAATGTTAATTATTTATATATAATGTTTTATATTTATACATGTTTTAGGTATCATTAAATTAATGAATGGAGTATTAGTTTATTACAGTATTAGTATTGTAATAAATATGATCCATAATTAATGTACTATAGTATTAATCTGGCAAGGACTGTACCCAAATCTTATAATTCTGAAATTAGGAGCTCAGTACCCTAAGCCCACTATCATTTCCAGCAACTTTCTGAGAGAAATACTGAAGGCCATAAGTCTAGTGCCCAAGTCATACACCCTAATAAGCCAAGCACCCTACAGTAAATCTCGAGCACCCTACCATAACCCACTAGCAGCCCAAACCCAGCAAAGTCCAGCATTACCAAGTAAAATACCCAAGACCAGCACCCAATTAAACCCTGTCTAAAAAGTAGGGGATATTATATTATAAATATATTTAGGCATGCAAAGAGCCAGAATAAACTGAACAGCAGGGTAATAATGTGCCTTGATGACAATAAAGCCCTCTCCATGCTATCAAATTTTATCTGACAAAAACATGTGACATGCCTAAATATGGTCATGATGACATCACACCATGACCATATGAGGCATGTTGTGGCAAAATGGCTAAGTTGTAGCAAAAATTGAAATTCAAGTTATTGGTATTTTTAGATACCTGAGTATGTGATCTTTAAGATGAGGAGTCATTCATTCAAAATTGGACATTTCAATTCAAGCCAAAGTTATTGGAAAGTGAAAGTACGTTACTCTTAGAGTATTATTATAAACGGGATTTTGAGTAATTGCCTTTCAAAGTTATTTGTGCATACATTGTTTAATAGAATGAACTATGAACAATAACATTAAATAAACAATTTGTTAACCACTTCCAGAACTAATACTTTAGGACATGATTAATAAGACATTAAACTGTTGATCTATAGTGAAAAACAAATTTGGATTTTTAGGCAATTTTTTGAGCTCCCATAGTTTATAGCTCATTTACTCAATACTGGACTGTGCGACAACTTAACCATTTCACCACGACATGCCTCATATGTAGGCACATCGTGACTACAGTTGTTTGATAATCTGGATGGGGTCAGCATTGAAAGATACCTGTATTAAAGCTAGCAAGCTAAATAAATAAATGTTATTAAATTGTGGAAACTACAGCTTTAAGGCCTATTTACACAAATGTGACAGCGGCACACAACAGTGATAAAAATATTCTGTTGCATATTGCGATCCATTTACCCAGTGCACGACAACAGCAGTAGCGCACGCAATTTTCGTGGCTTGTTCTGCAGCCTAAATGCTCAGAAGGATGACCGGAGTCAGAAACAGAAAATTATTCTATGCTGAGCAACACTACTTCCTGTCACATAGTTGCTTTGCGTTCAGTGTGGATCACCATAAAAACATACTTTTGTTTTATTTTTTTCGCTGCTGTTAAGTGCAAACTGGCCTTTAGCACGCATGTTCTCTGGTTTGAAACCCGACAATGCTGATCACAGCGCATGTCCTTATTAAGACATGCTAATTACCTTATTCTTAAAGTGGGACCTGAAGCTGGTATGGAGACTTCTGAACAAGAAAAACGAACCGAAAACACTTTATAAAAAAGTATGGAATTGTTACTTGATCATTGCCTACAGGCAAAGTGTGTGCGTATGGTGTTATGTTATTACAGAGTAGACCGCTGCTTAAAAAAAACAAGTTCTCGTAATCTTGAAAGCTCTGAGGGTAGTATAATAGAGGCAGTAGGGTATATTGGCGCCCATATAAAAAAGATCTATTAACCAATCAGCTGAGTGTTTCTAGAGCTCCTCATCAGAGCTAAAAATCTTAATTTGTCTTGGCAACGTCACCTAAATGTGTATGATAGTCTTATAGTTAAAAATCCTTAAACAAATAAAACAAACGACCTGTCTCTTATACACATCTATATGTAGAAGCTTTTTTTTGCGCTGTCATTTTACATTCTTGTTTGAACATATTGAACCTTGACTTCAATCTGCGTTGACAAGTTGCTAAAGCCCTTCAAGTGGAACATAATAAACAATGCACATTATTCCTAGTAAATAATGAAAGTTATTCATGCATCAGTTTCAATGAATGATAAAGCATGGATGAAATCCTTTGATAAAGCGAAATAAAAAAAAATAGTAAAGTTCTTCTATGTGCTACAGTATCTTTACTTCTGGACAATTTTGACATGGCCTGGATTGTAAACAATTCAGATAAATGTGAATTATTGAAATGTAAGCGTTGTAATAATTAATGATAGTAATATTGTCTGGCATATAATGCAGCCTACAAAATTTCAAGTTGGCATTCCACAATTTTTGAGAATATTGACGAACAAGAATTGGCACAGGTTTTTTGGCAACCTATAGTAGATTTTCCATGCTTCAGCATCCACCGTATTTTACACTGCAATCTGAGGCATGGTTTCCACTGAGACAGATCGTACCGGAAACTACATTTATGTACGTTGTACCCGAGGAAAATTTGCCAATCGTAAAACAAATTTTTTGTAAAATATTAATAGGCAATAATATATAATCCACATGCGACTCCTCTTTCTACTCTTTGCCAAATGTGGGCCTCTTTACTATCTAATAGTAGCAAAGTTGTTGTAGATTTGTAAGGGTACAATGTGTTAATGACTTCATAAACTTGAGTATTTGTAAAAACACGGAGGATTGAAAGTTGGCAAGTTTTTGCTGGCCTATTTTTATCCTCATTTTGGGCCTTGCGGGGACTTAGCAGGGGATGTAATTTCCAAAATGGTTACATGCATGTGAGAGTCCCGGCCACCTCCTAGCAATGCGGAGCATCGTTTTAATGTACATCCCCGGCTAAGTCCCCGCCACACCGCCGTAGTCCTGGGAAAATGCCTCGCTAATAAATGATTGGAGGATAAAACCTACTTGAAGGTTTAGCCTACAGTAGGTCTGAATCGGAGAAGCAACGTGAGAGCTAGGCCAAGGAGATGAGGTTCCTTGATGGAAGCACTACGCGTGCGTATCACTTAGCAGTTTCCATGGAAGTTTGGACTACAATTGACAAGTGCATAATCTGTCTCTTATACACATCTAGATGTGTATAAGAGATAGATTTTTCAGTGGGATTGAGCACTGTTTCACAAAAAATTGAGATATTTTTTTTTTATATATATATATATATATATATATACATACATATATATAAAAGGTTAAAGGTTAAAGGTTATTCATTTATATATATCGAGCTAAATAAATTATTGAGTTTAACATTTTTAAAATTTATACATTACAGTATGCTAATACAATAACCATATTAAATTAAATATACACAATTAAATTAGAAATAATGTTTATATAATAATAATAATAATAATAATAATAATAATAATAATAATAATAATAATGTTTATAATTAAATTAGAAATAATGTTTATAGTTTATACATAAATAACAAGTTTAGTTAGTTAAAGTTTGTAGCTGCCAAACACTAGAAAAATCTCTATTCTGAGAGCATGGAGGCTTGTGTCCTTGGGCAAGGCACTTTATCTACGGTTGTCTCTCTCCACCCAGGAGTAAAAGTGGGTACCTGGTAGGTTCAAACACCTGCGCTGAATACAGCTGCAACATTATGGAATTCCCCTATGGGGCCTGAGTGTGTGTTCCATATGTGCTTGATCCAGTGATCCGGGGTAATAATGTTCAGCGCATAGAGAAGTTTGATATGCGCTATATAAGTATACAATAATAATAATAATAATAATAATAATAATTTTATAATTTTTCTATCTTATACCTCCATGCTGAGAGGAATCTCAATGATTGATTTAATTTACCATGTCATCACATCGGTTACATAACTTATCATAACTTGCTTAGTAATTGGTTAATTGGTCCCCTGTGGAAATGTCATACACCTAATAAAGCCAAGATTAATTTTTCTACATTAACAACGTTTTAATTATGGAGCAGTCAACACACTATATAATAATTATTTATTTGGATACTACACTTTCAAAAGAGCAGTACACTTTACATGATAAATGTGCCTCCAAAATTATGTTTACATGAAAATTACAACATACAATACTAAATATATAAAGATAGCAGGTAAACAATTAATTACCACATAGTATGAAGTACCTGATGTGTCATTTAAAAATGCTGTAGAGATTATAGCCTACAGAAATCTAAAGGGCTAAATTTCATACAAACAATATCACTTATATTTGGCATTTTACCACTCTTTCATGATTTTAAACTTTTGCTTGTTATTAAGTCCTTTTGGAACATCTAGTTACATAGTTACAAACCGTCTCGCATCGTGTGGGACGGTCCCGCATTTTAAAGTGATTTTGGATGAAATATGCATTTTGCAGAAATACATGCGTGATCATAAATTTGTGACGCGTTTAGGTCAAGTCTATGTGTGATAACGAATTATCACGAATTCAGGGGAAAATGTATTTAAAATCAGAAGAAATTGGTTTTAATAAAAATATAAAAACTCTCTCACTAAATATCCATCATTACAATGCTTGAAATGAGTGGTTTTGTCATTAAAAATTCACAAATTCACACCCTGGTTGAGGTGGTTGGCTTTCTATTTTAAGTAACCTTCTCGATATAAATTTTGATAAGGGTCGGTAAATATTTGAAAATCTCTTTTACTAGTTTTTCAATGAGATGGGGGGGGGGGCGGTATGCCCACGATCCCTAGGGGGAGGGAAAACAAAATCTCCCACCTGCAAATTAGTCTAACTTGGCATCTTTGGTTGTCCCTTAGCTATTTTAACAATAAAATAAACAATAATAGTAATAAAGTTACATTTACCAAAAATAACAACAAAGTAAGAATAACAAGAAAATAATATATAATTTTTATCATTCTTTTATATAAGTGAAAAATATTAAACTGTGATACAAAGTTCTGTAATAAAAGATGAACTATCTGATTCCATACTTACAAGGAAAAGATTTTTCAAGTTAGGCAAGTAAATTCCAGCTGTGGTTGTTAGCTTGTTGCCTCTTAACTCCAGTGTGTGTAGTCGACCCAACTTTGAGGGCTCCAGTCCACTGATTACTGAGATTTCATTGACTAAAAAAAAAAGGTTTATTTAAAAGTAGTTTACAAAGCATTCTAATACCTACATAATTAATTTTTTTTAATACATAATTATAATATAATTTTCTACTAGTATATCAGATTAAACTCTAAGTAAATACTTTAAAGAGACACCATCTCAACATCAGGAGTGCGCTTTTTTCCTCCTTTTCATGTTTTGCGGATTGTTTTGAATTATTAATGCCATTTTCAGCAGATGTCTCATTTCATTACCTGAACGGCAAGTTTGTTTATTTTTTCCCTATTTTTTTGGCATGATTCGTCTGAATACTGTCAGTGCATTGAGATGATCTTATTGTGGAAGGCACCCACAACTACTATAAAATTAATAATAATAAGATTTATAAAGCGCACAAATCCACTGCAGTAGTGCTCAAGGCGCTAAATTCTCTAACTATTATTTTAACACCACACATTTCATTTGTTTTATATCTATAATAATTAATTTCATTAGTGACTTCTTTCAACTTGGGACCCCTGCAGTTTGCTGATGAAGGTGTCGAGATGACAGCGAAAGCCACAAGAAGCAAATATCACCGACTTTGAAAGGTAACATTTATACAATCAACAATTATCAATATCCATCATTATTATTATTATTTTATTATTATATTTATTACCATCATTATATTCAAAGACAATCTAATTCTAAAACTGTGCACACTCTGTGCCTGACAGTCACCAGCTGATGTGATTCGATGGAGAATGCAATGCCGCGACGCGGTGGATTTTTTGTGATGACAATCTGTTCAGATTGCCACCAACAATCAGCAGATGGCGTTGCATCGTCTAGCAGACTTGGATTTGTCGTACAATGCCCGTATGACTCTCGTATGATGCAGTAGGTTCCCTGCTAAACAAACAGCACTTACAAGACATGTTTAGAACTTCCAGAAGTGGATGGTTCAAGCCTTCCATCGTTGTGATTCGATTGTTTGTGAAACTTGCATTCTGAAGGTACGGCAGTTCATCAAGCTTAGCAGAGGTTAACAGATTACGGTCACACTTCAAGGTTAATATATGGGTCAATGAGTTCAAAGGTGAAATGTCACGAAGTAGACTGCCAGAGATGTCTATGTATCGTAGATGGATGTATAATGCTAAGATGTTGATATCTGTTACTTCCCTGTAAACAAAAAAATTGATTCTTATTTTTAAGAAACAAGATAGAGGAAAAAACATGGTTGAAACTTTTATTATTGCCCTTGCCTCTCCGAAGGAGAGGTGAAGGTCACTGCAATAGTGCACGTCTCTGTGTGTGTATGTCCTTCCCGGCGCATAACTCTAAAAACTACTGGACCGATTTAAATCTTCACACACTGATAATGTTACATGTATTTCGGTCCTCCTTAAATTTGATGCTGATTGGAAGATGCAGATTTTAGAATGTTATTTACATATTTTTCGGCTGCAACAAAAAGAGCCAACTTAGGCCCTATTATTATAAACATTTCTTTTCCTTTGCTACTTGGTTTTTATTATTATTTTTCATTTTTATTTCTTTGTTTATCTATTTTTATTTCCTTTGTTACTTGTTTTATGTTATTATTATACATTATAAATATATATTAAACTTTTTTTTTTAAATTTTATTTTTAACTTCGTTATTTTTTGCTTTTCTTTTTTTTGCCTTATTATTCTGCCTTTAATTATTTTATAGTCAATTTGATTTTATTTTAAATGTTATTTATGTAATATGTATATATGTAATAATTTCTTCTCCTTTGTTACTTTGTTTTTATTATTATTTTTTCATTTTAATTTCTTTGTTTATCTATCTATATTTCGTTTGTTACTTGTTTTATGTATTGAGGGTCCCTAATGATCAGCTCCGGCTGGATGGACCACCCTTGTAAAATATTGTTGAAATAAATAAAATAAATAAACAGAGCTTCAAAATCATTAGGACACTACAGTAATTTTTCTTTGCCAAGATGGAACATACTGACTGTGTTAGTGTGTATTGTTTTTGTACTCTTTGTTAAGTGGAAGATGTGTTGTTGCTGTAGGTATAAATATTCTTTAATTCAACTTACTTGTCCTTCAAATCCAGTTTTACATATGCATGAGCAAGACCATTACCAGTCTTGCATAGAAGTGAAAGACCATCTTCTACCATTTCTTTTGTCAGAGTTTTCTCCGGGATATTCTGAAAATTAGAAGTGTTAATAATCTCTGCAAATAATAAATTAATTTCATCCATTGAGGGTGTAACATCTCGTCTTGTTGATATTTGGAAGTAAGCTTTTAAGTTCAAAATATGACGTTACGCATTAATAATAAAACTCATGAAAAGTTATATAAATTAATATAACAATTATTCATCGTATGTTAACATAGTATGCAGGGTCAGTCTTCAACTGTCCATTTACAATTCTAGACGTGTACTTAAAGTATCAGCAATGATATTGCAAGCGTGCAGCCAAGGCTAATACGCACATAGCTTATAATAATATAGAGATATAGTCAACTTTGTTTGCGCCTGATACATTTATGCGCGAGAGTTGGCAGGTGTGTAAGCCGCGCTAAAACAGTAACAATCACTATATAGGTTTATAGTCTATAGTAGTTAAACATAAACACATATAGGCCTAGTCTATGGCCTACATATCATTATTATTACAATTAGGCCTACTACTAATAGTACAACATCTAAGCCTAGGGCCTAGCCTAGGCCCCTCTCTAGGCTAGGAATATCAGAATTTAAAGGAATTGGTTTATGACCAGAGGCAGAGGTGTAACAAATAACTTTGCCAGCCTATTCTTAGGCCAAATAATAGCATTAAAATGCCGTACTACTAAGGCCTCTAGGTCTACTAGGCCTAGCTAGGTAGGCCACGGTAAGTAGGCAGGCCACAACCAGACAGGCCTGCTCTGGGGGCCGTCTGGGCTTCCTAGCCTACTAATCATAGCTAGGCCTAGGCCTAGGCTAGCTAGGCCTAGCTAGTGTACAGTGTATGTATTATAGGTAGGCCTACCTCTTCTTCTTTTTGGTCCTCTTGTTCTTCTTCTTCGCCTGCTTCTAGTTCTAACTCAGGTTCATCAGTCCCTTCTTGCTCTTCATCATACTCCTGTTCAGAAAAATCAGACATTTCGACGTGAAAAGCTTAAAATTATTGACTTATCTTGATAATGCAAAAAAAATGTAAACAACAGTGTCTGAACTGCTCGTGTCGTCGTCGTGGTGATTGTCATCATCCTCAATTTAAAATTATATTGCGAGTTGCTTAAAATAGAAAATAAAATTTAAATACATCTATACTATTTTATTAAATTACACTCTCAAACTAAACTTTATTTTTTTTTTGTTATCATGGCATATTTATGTATAATGAAATGAAGAACAAGATTATTATGAGAAATATATAAACGTATTTTTAAAATGTTAAATTTTTCGCTTCATTAAACAATGGGAGCTTCGGTGTCAAACGCCAGACAGGCAGCTCAGAGAGAGTTAGAGATAACGTAAATTGTTATATCGCCGCCACACACACTGCACACTTGCGTAGCTGGAAGTTCGAATGCTGAGAATGAAGTTGAAAGTGGTAAGTTATTTTTCTAAGTTTACATGTTTTGTGATTTGAACTCCGTGTGAAATCAAAGCGGATTATATAAGTAAAGTACATACGATACATTATGATTAATTTTGGCTGCGTGTCACCTCCCGAAATGATTAGTTTCTAAAAAGGAAAACCTAGGCTGGCATTTTTGAGTGATGATATCGTCTTGTTGTGTCATGATTGATGATAGAATAGTAGTAGGTGGTGGTTGGTAGGTCTACTTACAATCTGACCCAACTACTAACTAGGGCCCTATTCGATGGTGGGTATTGGTTTAATGTCTTTTCGTTTTTTTAAACTTTCAGCTAAAAAAGTTTAATGGCAATTTTAACTAAAGTTGAATTATTTATTCGATTATCAGGTTTTAAATTTCTACAAATTTACAACCTGAGTGGGAACCATGATGAGTGAGAGAACAGAAAGTGGTTATTTTCGTTCAAGAAAGTGCCCCGGAAAGTGCCCAACACTTTTTATTTATGTTGTGTAATTGCTATGATAATCAACTACTAGTGTTAATATAAATATTATACTAGGCCTATGTGCTTTATTTGTTTGTATAATCTATCAATGTAATTCTAACAAGAATCGGAATAAAACATACACAGATTTATTGCTGACATCGGCATTATTTTAATAATTTCAAAGCCCCTTTCCCGGCAAAATTTCACTAAGATTTTTTTTTAGAAAAAATTCATATGCCTTACTCTATTATAAACAATGGAAAAATATTGGCAAAAATTTTAGTTTTACACAAAAAATTTGGCGTACGGTGAAAAATCTAAGGGGGGGTCGAAACGAAAGCACAAGGGGCAAGCAGAACTCGGGGCAATTTAGTGAAGCTTTCAGAATTTGCGGGGTGCGTACGCCCCTGCAAAAGAATAAAATAAATGAGAAATACAGACTAGTTCTTATAGGAGATACCATTTTCTCGACAAATTCTTTGTTACTAGGCAAATTCAGACGTTGTAGATCGCATCCGCTGGAATGCTCTTGCTTTTATGTATAATTCATACAGTCAATAAAGTGCATCCTCTCTAATGAAATTGGTTTTTGTATTTCGCATCTCGCACAAAATATCATGTCGGCCGCTTTTATGTGTGATAACAGAACCTAAATCGAGGTAAGGCTAGGCCTAGCCTAGCAGTGTTGGATAGGCTAATGTTTTCGGCGCCTACTATATTTCTTCGCAAACCTATCGCAAAATCAAACATAAAAAATCCATCATCATTTAATTGTTATGTGGAACACAAAAAAAAAAATCAAATTTCAGTCTTACTTTACATTTTTTTCATGTTTAGGAATGTCTAAATTCAGTTAAATTAGCAATTTCGTATTACATTTTTAAATCTTTATAACATATATAAAAATCAGATTTTTCTTAACTGAAATCTTGCCAGGAATGGGGCTTTAATGTGGAAGATAGCTACCCCCCTCCTGGGGGGGGGGCTCACTCTCAAATATTTCTGCACGGGGAGGCGGAGTTGCAGCATATATGGCGTATACTTACGAGGACTTTGTAGCACAAGTGTAGGAAATAACTGGGGTGAAATCGGTAGTTAAAGTCCCTGGCCTATCCTATGTCAAAGTGCCACGATTTTTCACACGATGATAGCGGGAATTTCAAGCTAGACTGGGTACTAAGCCCCTGCTAAGCCTACCTTTGGTACAGCCACGAGATCGCGACCTGACGGAACACTTTTTCCCATTGGGAACCAGTCAGTATTACGCCCTCTCTAGCACTACCGAGTGGCCTTTTTCCTGTCGTCTTTTAGAGCACAGTGCGATTTTGATATTATGGAAGTTTCAAGTCCATAAGAATTTTCAGTAAAATTGGTAGTCTCGTGTCTTGAAGTGACTGCGGCACCCTCGTGTTTGGTTGGAAAGGAAATGAGCTCCCCGGGTAACTACTGCCTTACTAAGATTAAAATTCTGAAAAATGATGTGTATTTTATCCAAAGTAGATACCCTTTTATATCTTGTTTAGCAAACATTATTGTGAAAAATCTTGTGATTGGAGGCTTCATTTGATGATGAAAATAAAAAGTTATAATTTTAATAGCAAAAAAACATGTTGTCATAAAATACAGTTACTGTAGGGATGGCCAACACTGAGTGCTGTAACCAAATTTGACATTTTCATGCACCTTTCATGCACTGTTTTTATACAACTGTACACTCAGTTTCATATAAATGTTACAGGTGATCGGTGTCAAGCTGTAATAATGAATTTTTCTTGCCAAAAATATGGCGGGCCGCACACATGATTAATATTATATAAATTTAAAGCATTTTACCATCCCATTACTATACTGTTTACATTCAACAATAAAATTTTATTTTAATTTTTTTATTTTTGGTAAAACCATTTTTATAAATAAGAAGACTAAATATTATTTTTATTTTCTTTCCGCCCTCCTCCGACGATCTTTAAAAAAATAAGTTCACGGAACAAGGTTTAAAAGAAGTCTCGCCTTTTTGAACTGATAATGCATATTTACGTGATTCTGATGAAAAACAATTTATATTATTATCATAAGATAAAAATAAATGTAAACTATTGGGCCTATATTTTTCTGCCAAACATATTTTATTTTTATTTTAAATAATCATTATCGGCAGCCTTATTGTGAAACAAGATAAAGAAGTCTTGTCTAAAAATACCATATTTTAGTTTATATTGTTTAGACTTGCTTATGGAAATCCTTAACCATATCAAATCAAATATTTTATTTCGGAATCAAGATTGTCCATATTACAGTACAAAATACTATAGAAAAAAGAATATGAAAAATTGAACTAATAATTCAAAAACCTCTAACCACTAAAATAGCTTTATAAACTAATCTTTAAACTATATTATTTTTACTTTGTAACCATTAGGTGACCTTTAAAAAAAATTATTTGTTAGACATTAATAGCATGGATCCTTCATCTTGAACATCCAAATAGAACTTAATTTCTATTTACTAGCTTATGACCTTACTTTTTACTGAGACCTACATTTGGAACTTGGTTGAACTTGAGACCTGTATTTAGAACTTCCAACCTTCCTCACAGCCTGTACTAGATCTCATGACCTTCATACAACTTTATACTGTATAACCTATAAATTCAGTGTAATGTTTAAAACATTTTTTTTTTAATAGACAATATATTTGCTGTTAGTGTTGGCATTTTCAAAATTTCAATTAATCTGCCCACATTAGGTTGATTACTTAAGGAAGTGCTTACAAATGATGAAACGTTTATGTGCAACATACAGTGTGTCCCTAGGCTGCTGTTAACATACTCAAGGTCAGGCTGCAACTTAAATGGATTAAGCCACAATAATGAGACAAATGTGGTAGGCCTACAGTATTTTACTTAGAGGAGACTTTTGTAATACGAAGTTTTGCAAACTTATTCTTTTAAAGAGGAAAGAGGATGGAAAAAAATAAAAACAAAATTTTGTTTTATTATTTAGCAAATGGTTTTGGCAAAGTCATCCAGATGGAGGAGAAAATAAAAATAAAATGTTATTGTTGAATGTAAACAGTGTAGTAATAGCTAAATTCTTTAAATTTACCGTATATAATTATGAAGAAATATGTTATTTTTGGCGATTTCAAGGCAGCAATGGGCGTAATAAAAATAAAGAAAATTATATTTTTTTCTGAAATTTCCGTTTTTTGTGGCGGCAATTGCGCTAATTGGCCAAAAATAAAATTGTATTTTTATTTGAAATCATTAATATTGGCAGGTGGCGGGTTCGCGAAACAAGGTATAAAAAATGTCCCGCCTAAGCTACAAAAATGAATTTTAAAAAGTATTTTACTTACCAACCTACAGTATGTGAACACATGGTTGTTTTTCAGAACAAAATATTAGTCTACAGTAATAATAATGATAGAAATATGTTTGACTTATATAGCTCTAAGCACTTCACTTTATTTCCCCCGGTTATTGGATCAAGCACTATAGAAACACATACTGTAGTCCTTTGGGAGAATTTCATAATGTTGCAGTTGTAATCAGTGCATTTTGTGTTCGAACCTACTGTACCAGGTACCCACTCGTACCCCTGGGTGGAGAGAGACAACCGTAGGTAAAGTGCCTTGCCTAAGGACACAAGCAAAATGCACAGTGAGAGATTGAACCCCCGACCTCAAGGTTGAGCGGCAAAACCGCAACCACTAGGCCAAACCACACGTACATCAGTGGTTCCCAACCTTTTTGCATTTGTGAACCCCTCGGGACATGTTAAAAGTCTTCACGGACCTCCATGTCTAAATGCTAGGCCTACTCATTGTTGATATTTCAACAATAAAAAGGTACAAAATGTTTATGTCTGTAGCACTTCTAGATGTTTGGAAATGGCTCAAATGACTTAACATTTGAATTTAATTTTGTTTTGTCTCCAATTTATTTTTAATTTTCTAAAATTTATGGGCCCCTCCCTCATGATTCCACTGATCAAAGGTAGGCCTATTTCATTATTGATTTAGGCACCATATGATTAGCAGTAAGATGTTTATCGCACTGTTGTAAAACAAGAAAAATGACGAAAACATGAAAAATTAGTCGAAAAACCTAGCGGACCCAAACATTTTTGGCAGCCGTTTTAATTTGGCAGATCCCCAATTATTTTTCACAAACCCCTACAGTAGAGTAGTTGGGAACCATTGGTCTACATTTCATACAGTATGAACAGGTATGTCGATGACGGTAATGGTGGTAGTAGTTTGGTGGCGGTAATGGTAATTATTAAAAAAAGGTCACCAAAGTATAAGTAGGCCTAACATACTATATGGACCTGCTGGTTCTTGGAATGGCATCTTGGAAAAACTGGATGATATCAACCTACTATAGAATCTCGGGCATGTTGAACAGTTTACTGCTACATAAGGTGCTGTAATGTACCTGTAGCCTATCATCATTATAGGAAAAAATAAATGAAATAAAGAAAGTAGATCGGAGGTGGAATCCAGAATGGATTAGGCAGTGAC